AGTAGCTAGGATGAACCATCAGGAATGTAGTGGTATAACCACAGACTAGGAGAGAAGCACCAATAGCTGATAAAGGCCTGCGGCATTTGTAGGACTGTCCAGAAGGTAGGGGGACAAATGTGCACAGGGAGGAACATCCAAGTCCTCACTCCACTGCTGCCCAGGGAGCTGGGCTTTTGTGCCAATGATAGGCCGCTTCCTTGCCTCTGCCTGTGGGGGCCCTGTCCTTGGCTGTCCTTGACCACTCCAGTCTCCTTAACTAGGCAGAGCATTTAGTCCATTCGAGGTTCAGGTGCAGGCATAGGCTCCAGGTGAGTGCCCTGCTTGCCCCTGAGCACTAGAGGCTGGGAAGAAGGCCCAGTGGGTGGAGCCATCTCTCCCTAGGCCCTGTTTCATTCGGGTGGCTCTGTGGTGGGCACAGCAGTCCCCAAGCCCCAGTCTTCAGGCATCTGGTTCCCGTGGGTGATCCCACTTCTGACACCCCAGTTGTCAGCCCTGGACATAGCTACAAGTGAACTTAGTGAGGGGCTGGGAGGGCAGTGGCCCCTTCTTGGCCTGGACAAGCAAGGTCTGTTGTGGGACAGTGTGGGTCTGTGCACTCATGGGCACATGGACGCCATCATGCATGTCCTTCATCCACGTGAGCTCCCTCAGTTTCCACAAAGACCCGGACAGGGGACTGTACTATTCAATTCAGAGAGCAAAACTCACACTCTGATTAGGGGTTGACCCGCTTGAGGTCATGTGACTGGCAAAGGGTTAGGGGTTCTGACACCAGCTCTTGATGATCAAACAGGTGTCTCAGAGAAGCCCTGGAGGTGGTGTGGCTCTGCTGCACTCCTTTTTCTAACTGTGGCCCCCTAGACCCTTGTGCAGAGCCCCTGGGGTAGGTGGGATTTGGAGTTAAGAATCAAGTCACTGGGGTCAATGCAGGAAGTTGCTGCTGACCCAAGTGAGGGCAAATTGAGGAGGGATGGTTGAGAAGAGACTAAGGAGCAGGATTTGTGGGGTTACCTCAGTGGCTCTATTACCATCTCTGGCCAGAGGGATTTGTGGAACTCTGAAAGAGGCCCTGGAGAGGAGCAGGGCATCATGGCAGGACATGTCAGTCTGAGGTTGCCCCCAGGGGGCTTAGAACACATCCCCTCCTTGCTCTCCCCTAGCCCCACTGGGAGTGGAAGGCACTAGCCACTGCCCTGGCGCACAGGGTTAGTCTCTGGGCAAGGATGGAGAGTAAATGCTGGGAGGGTGTCAGGTGGGGCATGGAGTACGATTGTCCTGTGCACCATGAAGAGCCACGGGCACATGACTTGTAGTCAGTCTAGTCCTGGGTGGCTGCTCCCTGGGAGTGCAGGAAACACTAAGGAGGGCTTTGGCTGCCAATATTTGATCTTCAGAGCCCTTGGGTTGTGCAGCTGTGGACGAGCAGGGTCAGTCTTGTCTCACTGGCACACGGCCTCACTCTTCCTGCTTGCTTCTGCCCAGCCTGGTCATAGCCTGAGGCTTCACGAGCACTTTTGTGGCTTCATGAGCACTTCCATGACAGTGCTCTCCTCTGGCTGTCATCAGGGATGGGGCTCAAACCTCCTACTCCTGGGGGTTCTGATGTCTGCCCAGCAGGCACTAAAGCCGTATGACCACCAGGAATAGTCTCGTGGGATCCTGAGAGACATCAGGTGCTCTATCTGCTGTAGTCCTGGCGACACCTGCTGTAAATTGGGCACAGATGACCTCAGTTTACCACTGGCATGTTGGTCTTCTAGGGTCAGGGATGCATTATTCCTTTCCTCTGTGTCCAGCACAGGGCCAGTGGGTGCTCAGAAAGTGCTCTTTGAACAAATGAGCCAGCTTACAGTGTGCTGGGCTCTGCTTGCCTTGGTCAGTAGTTACCACAATCGGACCACTGGTGGCTGATGTTTTCTTGACTTTGATATCAAATGCCCACTGCAAAGGCTTTTGGGATGGTCACTTTGCTCAGATTCAGGGTGCTGTTGGCAGATGGAAGTGGGCAGGGCCCCTTCTTGGCCTCTGCTCTGTGCTGTGGTCCTGTAGTGAGGGCATCCCCTATGGGGCTTCACAGGAGGGAGGGGGCTGTGGTCTCCCTTTTCTCACCCTGCAGCCCCAGTGGACATCACAGGCTAATTTTCGGGCCTTTGAATCTTAAGGGGGCCATACAGAGATGATGGGTGTTTGGGGTGAGGCAGTCAGGTGAGGTGGATATCCTTACCATGTGTCCCCTATGTATTCAGAAAAGGAAGCAGTGGTGCCCTGGAGTTGCAAGTGCTGCCAAGCCCTGGGCCCCTTTCCCCTCGTGGCCCCACCTCCCAGGCTCTCAGTGCTTGGCTTGGTCAGCCAGGATTGTGTATACGTCATCACAGCTTGGCCTTTTAGGTTTAAATGGGTAAGTCACTCACAGCAGATCAAATGTTGAATTGTTAATGCAGATTCTGTCTTGGTAACCATGTGGGTAAATGGCCTTCTTTCATGTCTTATTCTTCTTGGTATGCTAAAACAAAATACCTCAATCAGGGTGACTTATAGACAACAGAATGTGTGCCCACAGTTCTCAAGGCTGGACGTCCAAGATCAAGGATAGATTTGGTGTGTGGTGAGGGCCCCTCCTGGGTTCATGGATAGCACTTTCTTACTATGTTCTCCCATATTGGGAGCTCCCAGGTCCCTTTTCTAAGGGCACTGATCCCATTCATGAAGGCTCCACCCCATGACTTAGTAACCTCCTGAAGGCTCCCTTCCTAATACCTACATCTTAGGAACCAGGGTTCAACATAGGACTTTAGGGGACACAAATGTTCAGCCCACAGCAGTTGGTGTTAGAGTAGGTGGACAGCTTTGGCCAGTAGCCTTGTGGGTGGATGGCCTTGGAAGAGTGCCTTGAGATGTCAGTGGGTGCCTTGGAACTAGCAATCTCGGATTCCAGCCTTGGCCCTGCCTCTCCGGTTCAGTAGTGGTGACATGGCTTCAGCTCCAGGTCTTTGGGAGGACAAGTTGGGCAGCTTAGGGCCAGCATTGGAACCTTAGCATGAGGGATGGTTGCAGAAGGGATAGCAGCCCTTTGAGTCCCCACTCAGCCCTGTCTGGGGCCCCAACATGTCAGCTGGGAAACAGAGGTTTTACAGCTCTTTGTGTCAGGGTGAACTGCCGGGGGTAGGGAACTTCAAGTTGCCTCTCTCCCCAGTGTCTGTCTCTCATCCTGGTTGCAGCTCCTTCTTCTACGCTTTCCTGAACCTCCTGGTCAGCGCCTTTGTGGTCTTCCTGGTCTTCATTGCTAGCACCATTGTGAGTGTGGGCTTCACCATGTGGTGTGACACCATCACGGAGAAGGGCACTGTGCCCCACAGGTGTGTTCTGCCCCACCCCAACCTGCTTCCTCCCCCTTGGGTCTTCCTTCATGAATCCCATCCTAAGTCCCAGGCTTTGCCCCCACCATGCCCCACCTGTGCATACCTGGTAAGCTCCTTCTTTGAGCTCCAGTCCTTCAGTGTCAAGTACCTCCTTCCTTGTTCTAGGAGCCTGTGGCTCATGCATGGCAAGTCCCAGCAAGCTGGGAGTTGGATATGGGCGGGGCAGGCAGTCAGTGATACCATCTGTCCTGTCATCGCCAATCAGTAGGGGTGGGAGGACAGGATCCCAGATGGCACAGGCTCTACGTCCTAGAAGTCTTGAGGTGGCCATGAAGGTTCTGACCCTAGGGTCCTTCTCTGTGCTATTTGTGGGAGGCAGAGGCCCAGAGCAGGCTCAGGATCAAGGATTTGGCCTCAGTGGGGTTTGGATGAAGGGGTGGATCAGGGTGGTGGAAAAAGAAAGTTCTTGGGGTGAGGTGGCTCCCAGGTGGGTTGGGAACTTTTGGGGCCAGGGCAGCCAATGTGCTCTGAGCTGGGGCAGTGTCTGTCTGGCTGGGTGACTAAAGTGGAGCCAGCTGTCCTCAGAAAAGGAGGAGGAGGAGGAAGGGAGATGGAGGGGGGAGAGGAGGAGAGAGATGCCTGCTGTCCAGGCCTAAGAAGGCCCTGATTCTGGAAGGCTGGACCCTTGAGTCCCCTTCTCTGGAGGCTCCACATTCTTGTTTTAGGCAAAGTCACTTGGGTCTTCAATAGCTAAAACAGGTGACGGCAGAGCTGGGGCAGAGGAGTACTTTGCTGCCTGTCCCATGCCTGCAAGCTGGACCCTGGGTGCCTCTGCAATAGGGGAAGGTGTGAGCACCTGGATGAGTGGTCCCTCGTGGGGACCACCCAGGGCAGCTCCTCCATGGTGAGTGTGGCCTTCCCCATGGCCACTCAAGAGCTCTGCTGTCCCCATTTTTGCCTGCTGGGCCCCTAGGCCACCAGCCTCCTTGCTATGGCAGCCTCCAAGTGGATGCCCCAAGTTTCTTCACCCTCACAAGCCCCGCATTCACCCTCCAGCCCCTCTTTCACCCTGCTTCCTGACATTAGCTGCTATATTGGGCTGTGTGACGTCTGTACACCTCTGGAGCCCACCTCTGTTCACTCCTGTCCCTCCCATACCCAGGACTTTGTGTAGGACTCATAGATTACATGCTTACTCATCTGTTAGTTTTGGCCCATGTTGACACTAAGGGCTGAAGCTGGAGTTGGTCCGTGGTTGGGTGGGGCCCTTGCAGGTGCCTCCTGGTACTGGAGCAGAGACACTGTGCAGCATGGCTAGGGGACACCACTCCCATCTTGCTTTTGGGGATTGAGGGGCTGGAGGAAGCAGCCCTGTACCTCTGCACTGCCAGATAGTGACCAAGAGAGCTGTGGCCAGTGTTGGTGTCCTCCAGCCATTCAGAGTCAAGCTGGGTTCAGGTCTGCAGTTTCCCTTTCCTGAAGCCTGGCCTGATGCACTGATGAGGGGTCTAGGCTGATCCCTGAGGGTGGTCCCAGTGACTCCTCCTCTGCCCCTCTTGGGATTGCCCTCTCGCTGTTAGGGGACAATGCTTGCTGCTGCCTCCCCTGCTCAGAGGCCTGGAAGTCACCATCCACCCCTATGCCTTGCTGTTTTAGCTGTGAGGAGATGCAGGACGTAGATTTGGAGCTGGACGCAGACAACTCTGCCTTCTACCATCAGTTCGCCATTGCCCAGGTAAGTGGGGTTTGAGGCAAGAAGGGAGATGGCAGTATGGGGATGGCCCATTGCAGCAGTGATCGAAGGAAACAATGTGGCCAGGCAGGGCTTTATAGGCTGTAGGAAGCTGGAGAGGCTTCCTGGAGGTGGAGGCAGGAGAGGTGGGTGTTCTGCATCAGGACTTTTGTGGGTAGATACGGGTGGGGAGGGCAGAGCATGGAACAAACATGCAGGAGTGGAAAGGCACCCTGGGGGCCAGGGAATGGCAAGTGCCCAGTGGCTGGGAAGAGTGTGGGGAGACATGGGGAGGTGGTGCTGGAAATCGGCATCATGTCCTGGGATCTCCAGTAGGGCAGCGAGTTTGGATTCTGGTCTGGCCCCAAGTGGGCTACATTTAAAGGAATGCTGGAGAGTCCAGGGTTGTCCCTGAGCCAGGGAAACTGATGTCGTGCCTGAGGATCTGGTCTATGCAGCTGGAAGACCCCTGTTCACCTTGCATGCTCCCCTCTTGGAGATGTTGGCAAACTCCATGCTGGGACCCTCTTTGCTCTTATGCAGGCTGGTTGGGGCACACCATTGAACTCTGGGAGCTCCCTGTCCCTGACCCTGCATCTGTGTCCCAGATGGACGTGATGCAGAAGAGAGGTGCAGTGTGGCACTGAGGATGGACATCTTGCCTTTCCTTCACTGCACAGGGCTCATGGCCTCCAGGTCCTCTTCAGACCCTGGTGTGGCCTCTGAAGGCTTATGTTAGCCAGTAGCCAGCCTGAGGGCTCACACCACTGCCAGATCTCTCTGTGGGCGAGGGCTGAACCCTGGGTGGGGGTTTGAAGGTTCTTGGTTAAGATGAGCTGAAACAGCCGAAGACTCCTTCACGCAAATTTAGTGGAAGCTGATTCCGACCTAATTTGCTCCAATTAGACGGAGGCATGAGCCGGTCTGATCTCAAACACGCTCAGACGAGAATCAGTTTGATGCGGTGCAGGGCTGGAGTTGATTAAATTGTTTCTCCTTCAACTGTTTGGAAACAGCAGATAAAGGTCAATTTATTCTGCTGGCTGGAGGGGGCTCCAGGATTTACTGAGCCTCCTTAGAGCTGAGCTGGCCCCAGATGCAAGGAAGGAAGAACACTGCTCCTCTTCCTGGAGGAGCCTGGGATGAGGGTGGCTGAGCCCCCAGGCCCCTGCACATCTGGAAGGATGCTGGGTATGACAGTCACTGCAGAGAGGAAGCAAAAGGTTGAGTGTGGGTGGGGTCTCCCAGGTCCTTGTGGCCTCCTTCTGCCACTCTCTATATGTTCTGTCCTTTCCTGCAGAACTAGGGGCTGGAAAATGGGTGCGTGGTATGGTGGGTACTGGTGTTGGCCTGCTGGCCCCTGACACTGCCCTGCTTCTGTGCAGTTCGGCCTCTGGGCTTCATGGCTGGCCTGGCTGGCCATTACCACGCTAGCCTTCCTGAAAGTCTACCACAACTACCGCCAGGAGGACCTGCTGGACAGCCTGGTGCATGAGAAGGAGCTGCTGCTGGCCAGGCCGGGCCCCCGCGCCTCCTTCCAGGGGGAGAAGAGTGCGGTTATCTAAGCTCCTAACCTGCAGGGGAGCAGCCCCAGACCCCCGTCCATAGGCCTGCTTTGGGGGGAGCCACCTTCGCAGCCCTGCATGTGTCCCCTGGCCCTGCCTGCCATGAGGTGAGCACCCCAATTCCTACTGAGAGCTTGGACAATGGACAGCTAGATGGCACAGAGAGACCATGGACAGGTGCCTCCTGGTGTCATGTAGCATTGTGCACCTATCCTTGGCTGAGTGCCCTCTCTGACCCTTCTGGTCATGGGTGGTGTGGTTCACACTTACATTGTGTGTGAATGTGGGTACATATGAGTGCACGTGTGTGAGCACCCAGTGGGAGCAAGTGTGTGCAGGGGGATGAGGGGACCAGGGAGGGTTACAGAGCAGATGGGTGACTGCCCTACATTGGGCAGCTCTGCACCTTCATGAGCCTGGTACACCCCATGTTCTCCAGCAACTGCCCCCCCACCCCCACAGAAGGGTGCTCGCCTCCCATCCTACAGTCTATGGTGGAGTTCCCCAGAGGGTAAACCCTGCCTACCCTGGGCTCTGGCTTCTGCACAGTGATAGCAACTGGGATTCTTGGCTGTGGGACCCCTGCAGGGGAGCCCAGTGCCCACCTCTTAAGGCAGCCTGGCTTTCCTGGCTGGCATGTTCCTATGCCCTTGTTCCAGGGTGTGGGGCTCATCATGGAGGAGGGCTCTTCCCCACCCAGGCTCAGTGGACAAGTTCAGTTTTTCTAGCCCTGCTCTGCAACTTGCCCCTGATGTGGCCACCAGCCCTTCTGGAAAGGGAGGCCTGGCCTCCTGTCTGCTCCCTCTGTCCATCTCCAGTGGCTAGTGTGTGTTTCCAGGTGGGAGGCTTGGGGCTTGCCAGAGATGTGGGCCTAGGCTGGCCTCCAGGAACCATGGGTGGTCAGCTGGATCCCAGGGGTGAAACCTGCAGGAACCTGTCAGGATGCTATGTAGGGGCCCATCTAGGGAAGGCTGGGCAAGATGGGGTTAGGCTCCTGCTATTTCAGAGGTGCTCTGGCCTAAAGGCCCTGCTGAGTTTCTGGAAGGGCATCCAGGTCCTTGGGGGAAGGTGTTTTGATACAATCTGAGGTCTCCAAAGTTGATCTGGTCTTCTCTCTTAATCCACCGGACGTGGGGACCTTTTCCAGCTCCTGTGAGCTACTCTTCTGGCTCCCCAGTACAAGGTGGAGCAGCTTCCGCCCCTGCCCTCTGTCCAGTCCTCCCCACCATGTTCAGGCTGCGGCCATCAGGATGGAGGGGGGAGCAGGGGGCAGGTGCAGGTTTCTTGGGCCCAGGATCTGCCCCAGGTGTGGGCCTGCCCATGGCAGCTGCCTCTTGAAGGTTCTGGGGAGCTGGTCTGGGCCCCTGCCAGCGCCACCAGAGATCTGCGTCTACCTGCAGACATATAGACCTGTCTGAGCAGGGCTGTGCCTGGTCCCCAGACACCAAACTCTGGGGACCCCTGGAAGGAGCCTCTGGCATGGGGTGCTGACATGGGCAGGTGGCCCTGGCTGTGAGCTGTAGGTGGGGGCCTCTCCACAGACCGGAGGGCAGGGAGGGTAGGCAGGGCATGTGGCAACTGTGGGCTCACCAGTTGGCTCCACCAGACTTCTTCTAAGACGCCATGGCTTCTTTCCAGCTTTTTCATAGGGATAGCCAGTCAGTTTTAATTCCTGGCTAAACTGACAGTGAAGATTCTTAAACTTCTATGTATCTATTTCTCCAAGTCAAAATAAAACCAAAACCCTGAGTTTCTCTGCTTGCCTTCCTATTCTCTTGGCCTTAACTGCTTTTTAGTTTATGACTTAAACAACTGCACCGTGTTTGTGTTGTTTTGTTGCGGATTTTGGTAACAGCCTTCTGTGTGGCTGTGCCTTCATGCCTGTGCATTTTCAGGGGTCCAAGTCTCCCTGCTCCCCATGGACTCCCCAAGGTGTGAGGATGGATGGAGTGATTTCCCCAGGAGAGGTGTGCATCTTTGAGCAATTTTTATTCAAAGACAACTGGGGTGTAGTTCTATGTACCTTAGAGAGCTGGGCACATCTTTCTGCAGCTTTTGTGGTGCATATTGGCTGTGAGGCAGGGAGTCTCCCACTTGCCCCTCTCTACAAAACAAGGAGATGCCAGACTTCTCCCAGGCATGCGACCCCACCCCCTGAACCAGGGTGGGAGGCGCTGCCTCCAGCCCACAAAGGGCTGAGCTGGAGGCCCATGACCACCTCGTGGACTCAGGCCTGTGACCTCACCTCTCTGAGCCTCTGTTTCACCATCTGGCATATGGAACCATGATTTGCCCATCCTCTTCTGTGGTGGGGCGAGATAAAACAGGTCCTAGGCAGCTGGTCCAGCACAGGGGTGTGGTAACCATGGGGATGACTTAGGCTCCCCATCTTCTCTGGAAACAGGACCATGTCCACTGGGCTCCTCTACCCTGGACCCCTGAATTCTGAAGCTGGAGGAGACCCTGGAGACCACTGTCTGGGTACCCTGAGTCCTGGAGAGCGGAAGGATACACCTGGAGCAGTACTGGGGTTAGCTGGGAGTCTGGGAAGTTCTCACCAAGGAGGACGAGGACATGGCCCCAGGGGCTTGGTGGGGCAGCCCAAGTTCTCATTAATGGCAGTCCAGGGACTGTGGGTGGGAGCCCTACTGAAGGAGGGATATTCCAGGGGTGACCAGACTGTTGTAACAGCCAAAGTGGATTCTTCATGGATTTGTCCCCACTTCTTGTTTCTATGACGGTCCCAAGACTGGAAAGGTTGCAGGTTTTTTAATAGAAAGCTACCTTTCTATTAAAGGTGTTTCTTGCTGCCCCAGACACTGAGTACAACCACTGTGCCTGCGAGCCTCAGGCCAACTGAAATGGCCATCAGATGATTGACCCAGGTGGTCCAGTGCCTCTGCCAGCAGTGCCTCCTGGTGTCTGACCAAGGGCCTCCCTGCATTGTTCAGGTCTCCCCCTGTATTTGGAGTCTGAGGATCCTGGAGTTTGTCACTAGGCTCCTCTCAGCCCCACAGCTTGAGTGCCAGAGTCACGTCTACAGAGGGTTGCAGGGACCCATGGGCCCTGTAGCTGCTGGTCAGCCCTGGCTTACCTTGGGTTCGTGTCTCCCACCTAGCAGACCTGGGCACCATGGCAGTGTTCTGAAGGCAGCAGGGTCCAGGCCTTTCACTCTTCTCTATTGTCTCTACTCCACACCCAAAACAAGTCCCCTCAGATCTGAGCTCAGGATGGGACCCCAACACTCTCAAGGGGTCCCTGTAGACTGTGGAGGGTAGCCTCTCCCCTACTTCCAAACCCTTTTCTCCCGACCGGGTTCTGAGTCTGGGCCCCAGGCAGGTCTTCAGCAGCAGGAGGCTGGGTTCTGCCTTCTCTGAGCTGTCTCACAGATGTGGGGCAGGGGGACTTCCCTAAGTGGCTACACATAGCAACATCCAAAGGGACACTGGGAGGATGAGGCTGGGGCAGGAGCATGTGGGTCCCCAGTGATCAGTAGTCAAATCCTTTCTTTAATAAAATCTCACAGTGGATTCTGACAGAACAGAAGGGTAATGCTGACTGGTGTCGGGGGGGCATCTGCTACGCCAGGCCATGGGTGACCCTTTCTCCCAGTTGGCTCTCTTGCAACAGCCCCTCAGGGTCCTCTGCATTGTGCTGGCTAGCAGGGCTCTCTCCTGGGTCAGCTTCAATGCCCAGGTTGTCAGCTATCCTGAGGACCACCCTGGACTCCCCCACCATGGGTCCTAGGGCCATCCAGAGGTGATGGGTTGTCTAGCGTGGGTCAGAGTTGCAGGAGGCAGCGCCAACAGGTGAGAGCCATATGCCACAGGCGAAGGATGAGGACGAGGAGTCGGGCCTGGAGGTCCTCCAGGGCCATCATGATGGGCCTGGCTCGGCCACAGTATAGGCCCAATGCCACTCCAAGCAGGACACACACAGACAGTCGCAGGAACAGAGAGCCTCTGTGCGGTGTGGGCTGGAGTAGGGGGCTGCCGTGGGATGCTGACCGGCTGGGCACTGTTGACCAGAGGGCCAGGCAGGTCAGTTCTCACCAGTGTGGACTGGTGAGGTGTGCCTCTTCCCGTCCCAGTGGGGCTGGTGAGGAAGGCGTGAGGGGACACTCACGTGCCCATCTGCTGACCTGTGACTGGTGCTATTGGGGTCACTGGGAGTGACTCCCATGGGACATGGATCTTACCCCATCCCTGCCCCAGGCTGATTGTCCATGGGGGGTGCTGTGCCCACTTGGGTTTGTCAGGGACCCTAGCCAGGGGTGTGGCCCAACAGGATTGGAGCAGCCAAGGGGAGAAGCCAAGGAGGGATTCATGGTCACTGGGGGGTGTGAGAACAGGGGTGGGCTGGCTGCACTGGGCACTGCTCATGGGGGTAGAGGTACAGGGCCTGGTAGGGGCTTGGGCTCAGAACGCACCCTTGACAGTGGTCTTGGCATCCCTGTTGGCGATGTCTGAAAAGAGATCACAGATGCCTCAGTCCATCTGGTGCCCCCAGGCCCTCTCATCTCAGCCCAACCCCCACAAAGGACTCTGAGCTGGCTGTCATGGTGTGGCCACTTGGCCCTACAGGTGAGAGGCCCCCCTCCTGCAAGGTCCTCCCCTTCTCCAGAGGGGAATAGTGAGGGAGAAGCTGTGGGCATGTTCTGTTTTGCCCGTTCCACCAACCACAGCCCTATGTCCAGATGACCCTGTGTCCAGGTCTTGTTGGATTCTACTTGGAAAGGCAGGACAGGGACTATAGTCCTTCCAGGTGGCCCTGGGCCCTACCAGAGCTGTGTGGGTACTGTTTCATCCCCACCTTGTCCCACCCAACCCTTGCGGCCAGTCTGGCGGGCTTGCCCCTGTGTCCCTCTTACAGTGGATGGCCACCTCCAAGGGCTCTCGGAAATGCACGCGCCTCGGTGTCCTCTGTGCCTTGGCCCCACAGGACCCACGCTCCGGCTGCCTCTGTCTCAGGATGGAGGGGGGGCACTTCCTGTCACCCTTCTGGGATTGGGAGTGGGAAGTAGATGGCCGTAAGCCCCTGATGTGGAAACTGGTTGACCTGACCAGAGTCCCTGGTGCTTCGTCTGGGCTTTGGGCAGAGGCATCTACTGAGGAGGACCAGAGAGAGTGTGGAGACCACCAGACCTGTGTGGTGAGGCCTGGATGAGGCTGCGACCAGCAGGTCCATGTCTCAGCCTAGGCTATGTCTCCCCACCAGTCCCAATAGTAACAATGGACTAGGGTGCTGGTGACAACTGACAACCTGTTGAAGACAATCTGTGCCAATTTTTTCTGGAGCTTGCATGTACAAAATCTCACTGAACTACAGAAGTCTTTGTTAGGGGGCCCTGAGGCCAGGCACAGAGAAGCCAGTGACCAAGGAGCAGGCTGGTGGGGCGGGGGGATCAGGGTCCAGAGCTCTGTCACTGCTCAGCGGCAGTGCTTCCAGAACCACATCGTGTGTCTGACTTGAGACACACTGGGCTTTTGTCATTTTCCCCTGAACAGGGGCTGCTGGGTATCTGAGGTCCAGATGTGGAGACCACCACACCAGCAAGATGGCAGGGCTCCTTTTCCCTGAGGGGAAATTCTGGGCCTCCTAGCCTCCACCTCCTCTGTGTTGTCTCAGGTGTCTGGCTACTGTTCAGATTGTGAGAGGGGCCCTGAGACGTGGGGGTCACAGGGGAGGAGGCCCTGTTTTAATGGGGCCAGAGTTTGCAAGCTCCACCCAGGGGGGGCCTAGTCAGGGAAGTGATGTGGTTGGTTGGTGCCATTGGCTGGCTGCCTCCCTCTCCCTGGGGCTGTGCTTCACGCAAATGCAGAGCACACATATGCCCAGCCAGCAGCCACCTTCCTGTCCTGCTCTATCCACCATCTTACTAACCCAGTCCTGAGCTTGGAAGAGGGAGCAGGGAGCTCCTGCCCTTTGTGAAGCTCAGTGTCCTTGTCTGTGACAGGGGACAGTAGGCTGTTCTGAGGGCCAGAGCAAAGAGAACTGGGGCATCTCTGCTCCTGGCTGCACACAGCCTGCTGCTTGGCCTTGGGGAGGCTACTATGCTCAATAGCAGATGGCCTGGTGCTGAGGTTTCTCCACCTTATCACTGACCCCTCCCCTCGGCTGTGGCCTTCTTGGGCTGGCAGGAAAGCTTGTGTCTACCTTAGTCATCAGGGCCTGAGGGTTGGGCCCTCTGCTTGGAGCCTCTGCCTACGCCTTGGTGAAAACCCTGTGATTTCACCTTCTCCTGGTGTCCTTCTCCCCGCTTTGTTCTGGACTGAGGATGCTAGGTGCAGCCTTGACCTGTCTAGTCCTGTCTCTTCTTTCTCCCTTGCTGTAACACACTCCTCCCTGGGCTAATCAGCTCTATAGCTGTCCATGGCTCCCACTTCCCCTATCTCAGTCAAGCATCCCTCTCTGTCCCCATCTTGCCATCCTCCCTCCATGTTCTCATGTGCTCTCTCCTGCCCTTGACCCTGTCTTGAGGCTACATAGACCCACCATGCTTGGTTCCCCCAGGCACTTTTGGTCATATGCTATACCTGGTGCTTCTGCCATACCAAACCTTTCAAGGTGACACCTACTTCTCTCTCCCCTCCTAGCCCCCAGTGCTGACCCTTCCTGGAGAGCAAGGACAGGGACTCTGCCTGTCATCTCACACCTCCCACCCTACTCCACCAGTAAAAGCCCAGCCCGCTGGGCTGGTGTCTCAGGTGCCCCCCTTACTCTCTCCTCCCTGGGTGTTGCTGAACCCCACGTGTCCTCTTCATTCTTTCCGGTCTGAGGTTGGTTTTCTGGCCGGGAGCTGTGGCGCGAGACTCGAGCTGCAGTCCTCATTTACTGGAGCATGGTCCTAAGATAAGAAAGATGGTGTTTATTACACAAGCAACACTTGTAGGGATAAAAATAACAGGAGGAGAAAATTTCCCAGGAAGCCACACCAGCTTCCCTGGCTCTCATCGTTCTCACTGACAAGTGGATCTCATCTTTCCTTCAAGGTGCTCCCACAGTGATAATGCCTGTTCCCTGTGGACTCAAACACCCCACCGTCAGCAATTTGCTCTGTGGACTGTGGTCTCCTTAGTTACCGCCTTTGACAGCTGTGTAATATTCCTTTGGGCTGATGTCTGGAGAGTTACAGCCACCCTGCATCTCTGGGAAGCAGGAAGTTTGCATCCTGTTATTGTCATTTTCAAGTTTTTGAGATCATAGATAAGGCTGAGGCAAACATCTCTGCATGGGCTCCTCCCAGAAGGGGGAGGCCCCAGCACTGAACAACAGCAGGGGACATTGTCAGGCTGGCTCCTGAACTCCTGGGGCTGCCCCTCAGGACTGCCCAAATTATTGTTTCTGCCTCTCTCTGTCCTCTTTCAGTCTTTGTCTTTCTGTCTATCTCGATGACTCTGATTCCATCTTTCTTTCTATAACTCTGTGTCTGTTTCTCTGTGATTCTGTCTCTCTCCATATATACCTCTTTCTCTCTGCATCTCTCTGTCTCTGATGCCATCTCTCTGTCTGCCTGATTGCCTCTATATGTCTCTGTCTCTTGTTTCCTTATGTCTCCGAATCCCCCTATGTCTCTGTCTCTAATTTTTTCTTTCTCTGTATGTCTCTGTTTTCATCTCTCTGTTTCTGATTGCCTCTCCCAATGTCACGTTGCTTGGTGCCTAGGTATAAGTGGTACCTCCTCTTTCTTCACCCTTGGCTTGTCCCTCTTCTACCCCTGAGCAGGCCCTCTGGGGTGGTCCAGGTTCCTTGGCCTCTACGCTCTACAACTCTGCTGAGATCTGGGTAGGGGAAGTCAGGAAGTGGATGCCAGCCCTTCAAGGGCAAGGGGAGGCAGGCAGTACTGAGCCCATCTACCTCCATGTATGTGAGGAAACTGAGATCAAAGAGGGCAGCTACAGAGAGACTGATGCCAGGGGCTGCACAGGCTGGGTCCTCTCTGCCCCTTCCCTGCTGGATAGGGTGGGGTTGGGGCACCTGCCTCCCTCCACCCCATCCAGGCTCTTACAGGGTCCCAACCTGGACTGTTGGTGGGTATCATTGCCCCTCAGTAGGCAATGACTTCCACGTAGTCCTGGCTTCCGTGGATCATCCACCGTCATGGACCCCCGAGGACTGAAATCAGATGAGAATGAGTGGTTTGGCTTGTTTTCACTAGATTCCCCAGAAGGAGTAGCTGCCTCAAGGGCTGACGCCAGGAACCGCCATGCCATCTTCCACCAGGAGATAACAGAGCAACTGTGTTGGAGATCTCAGCAGCATAAATATTGCAGCCATGGCAATGACTTCAAAAGGGAACATTTTCTTCTCCCTCAGCATCAAGTTTTATTGCAAATGGAGCCAGGACAGGAGCCAGCTGGTGGAAAGGCAGGGAGAAAGGCTGGCCTATCCTCAAGTCCCCTTCTCAGGGACTGGGCCCTGCAGAGGCTGGGTGAGCAGGCCTGGGCTGGGCTGAGTTTCTAAGAGCTGAGTTCACCTGGAAGGTGAACCCATGGAATCTCTGAGCATTGCAGCCACAGAACCAGCCCTATGTTTGAGGACACTGCCCGTAAGGGTGGCCTGGACAGCCTGTTTACAGAGAACTGGGCCAGATGGCACTGGGAGGGCCAAGGGCTTTGCTGAAGCTTCGGGCAGGGTAGGACAAGGGGCCAGTGGCCCCATCAACCTCTCAGGCCCAGGCCTGGGCAGAAGGAGGAGCTATGCATTTGATGGTGGTTCCAGCAGTTGCATAGCCCAGGTTGGCCCTCAGCCAGCCTGTGCAGGACTGTGCCCCACTAATGGGAAAGAGGCCCGAGAGGCTTGGGCTGGCCAGAGCCACATGGGGATGTGAGGGTGGATGCTGTTTCCTGTACCTCCACCTTACTGCCAGCAGCACCTGCCATGAAATCCTCGGGTGGGGTCTGCCAGGGAATTGTTGGACAACAATGTGTGTGTGTGTGTACACATGTGAGATTGTGTGTGAAGTGTGAGAGTGGGTACACCTTTGAATCTGCAGGTAAATGTGAACGTGTGACTGTGCTTGTTTGGACACAAGCACATGAGAACACGTGATTGTGTGCACACACACATGTGTGTGTTTGCAAAGGTATGTGTGTATACACATGAATGTGCCATGTCCAGGCATATGTGTGCAAGGAGATATGGTTGTGTGTGCATGTGTGTGTCTGTATGTATGCATACATGTACAGTTGTTCTGCTTTGAGGAAGTATGCAGGAGGAAGTGGGGCCTTTGATGTCCCCCAGGTCTGACATGGGACCTGGTAAATGTGACCTTGGTTGAGTGGCATAGCTCCCTAGGGCTTGTGTGACACAGGGAGGGTGGCTCTGGCACACTCCACAGAAACAAGCAAAGCCTGCTGGTGCTGACTGCTGCCTGCCCGCCCCGAAGAGGAGGCCCCAGTCCAACAGGGACAGGCTGTAACTCGAGTGCATTTGCTCTGAGGCTGGCTCCTGACAGATGGGTGATAAAGTGTGGAAAATAGTTCTAAGAGCCTGGGGTCTGTGCAGTGTCAAGGCCACACCATGTTGGCTTGGGGAGGATGTGCTGCTCCTTACTCTGGGAAATGACCCATGACCATTTCCCATCTGGGGGCCCAATTCCCCTGCCCTTGGCCAGTGAAGGGCACAGTCCTCCTGGGAGTGGGCAATCCAGACCCAGAGCAGGAGTGCCACCAGTCAGCTCTCAGGGTGGGACTCGTTGTGCTGGACACTGGAGCCCAAGCAAGTAGCCCATCATCTGCTGCCTTCTCAGAGCTCAGACATCCCTGTGGAGAAGGGGCTGTTGCTAGAGCAGGCCTCAAGGGTCTTGACCTAAAGGGTCCTGGGAGTCCTGTCCATTTCCCTCACTTGAGATCTGGCCAAAGCTGCATCACAAGGACTCTCTAGGCAGTCTTTTGGGGTTGTCTTGAAGCCTTTGAGAGTCAGTGACAGCCCCAATGGCATGTCTCTCCACATCCCTCCTCCCACCAAGATCTGTCCCACCAGCCTCTAAAGTCTGTGGAAGAAGGCCTGGCTGGCTACACCTTTCTGCTTGATGGGAAGACTGCTCTGCCTGTAACCTGCCCATCACCTGTGATGTGTCTCCATCTTCACCAAGGGTCCCTGGGGGTGGGCATGGCCCCTAGGGCAGCAGTTGGCATGTGGATGACCCCAGTGCCCTGCCCGCCTTGTACAGGAGGGGTCCTGTCTCAGCTCTGACCATGACTGGCACCATGCTTACCCCCTCAGCATCTTCCTGTCTACCCCACACCCCAGCACTGTGCTGGAAACATGCAGGCCCTGGGCTCCAAGACCTAGAGGGGCCAGTGCTCCGGAGGCTGCACAGCACTGGGCTTTCCTGCTGCCCTGCAGCCTCCTCTGGGGTAGCCCATGGGGGCCTGGAGGTGGGCCAGGCTCTCAGAGAGCCAGAGCCTCCCCAGGGCCTCCTCGCCCTTATACAAATACACAGGCACACATCACACACACATCCACGCGTGCCCCCCCCATCCCCGCCTCCCCGGCCCACACACACACGCATTCTCAAAGCCCGACCCACCTGGGCTCCAGCAGTGCTGTAGCCTTCCTGCATGTGCGGGCCCACCTGACCTGCCCCGCAAGCCGCTGGTGATCAAAGCCCCACACAGGGCGGGAACCGGAGCTGCTGCTGCTTGCAGACCAGCCGAGAAGTTTCCATTACAGCAACTCCGGCAGTGGCCTCAGCTGCCTGAGGGTCCGGCCACCTTTCTGCCCTCTGGACAGCTGGATCTCTAGAAAGAGTCACCCTCAAGGCTTGGCCCCAGGTAGAGTTGGGCCCTATCCTGGGTACATAGGCAGCTTGGCCACAGGGCTTAGAGACAGAGCTGAGGCCGGCAAACTTTGCCTTCTTCAGCAGGAAGGAAACAGGAAGCCGTGGACACCCCACACTGGCCTCCCCTCTGCAGGGTGGGAGCAGAGCCCAGGCCAGGCGGGGCAGCAGGTCTCCCAGGAAGGCTTGTTTCTCCCGGCCCAGCATTCCCAGCTGGAAATGAGCTGGCAGCTCCCCAGATAACTTGCATTCCTGACTTAAGCAAGAGGGAGAACTCCAGGGGAGGCCCCTGACTGGATTGACTGCTGCTGGACTTGCTAGGCACCCACTGGCCAGTCCCATGCCAGATACTGGGCCCACTCATCTGGGGTTGTATTTAGCTTTTGGGGTAACAGTAGTCCCAGTGACGGCTATGTGCCTGCTGTGTACATGGGGTAACTTGGAATAGGACGCAACTGACTTTGGCCTCATGGTGGGTAGACCCCCCCCCAGTGTAGGCCCTAGCTGAGGTGAGACCTGAGGAGTCACTCCTTCCCCACATGTGAAATGGGGGTCATTTGCAACTGTCCAGGCGCTGTAAAGACCAGTGGGCTTTGCTGCAGGAGTGTCCAATAAGTGGAGCTCCTGAGTCCGAGGGGCTATGCCAGCAGTGGGGCAGGACAGCCATGACTTCCACTAACTCAGTCAGAGGAGGCTGGTTCTTTTGGGAAAGGCTGGCTGCTATGTGCCATGTCTGCTCATTCAGTCCCTTGTTCCTAGGAGTGCAGTCCCTTGTCCTCCATTATGTCCAGCACAGCTCTCACCATTTGAGAGCATTTGGGACTCCTGTGGATGCTCCCTAATACTCCCAGAAACAACTGAGCCTCAGACAGCATGTGGGTGAAGGGCCGTGGAGGGCTCTGTGGTCAGGCCTGGCTGTCCATCTCTCCTCCCCCATACAGATGAAGAGACACAAAGTTCAGAGGGGACTGGGGCTTCTGAGGCTATCAGCTACCCTGATTTGCATGGAATGGTCCCCACTTCAGGGAACAAACCCCTCAGTCCAGAGTGAAAAGGAAGGGTGGCCACCCTGGAGCGTGTCCAGGGTCACTCTGTGTGTTTGTGACCTGCTGCCCCCCTTGGCAAGTTCTTACCTGCTATTGGGAACTCTGTGATCTCCGGTGGTAAGTTTAGAATCCATCTGCTCTTCAGGGCTGGTTCTCTCACTAAGCTGCCTCCTGGATGTACAGAACTAATTATGGGGTAGAGCTCAGCTACCCATCTTGTCTGGTAGTCCTCCACCTTGGCAGTCAGGCCATTGGCAGCACCTGCAGGTTGTTCAGGTGACAGGTCCACCTACTCTCCCTCGGGCACTGGTCTGGAGGGGCTATCTGCCCATCTGCAGGGCTAAGCTGTTGCTGGCCTGCACCCCAAGCTAGGCCCCTCTGCTGGATTGTGGAACATGTCCAGATGGCAAGGGCTGAACTATAATTACTTCTCCCCTTTGGCAGAAATGGCAACAACCCCGTGGACGGGCTGTTGGCCCCAGATCTAGTGGGAGGTGGCATTTCCCAGGCCCATGGTGAACAGTGGGCCAGGCCTGAAGACAAGGCCAGGGGTCAGGGCTGATGTTCCCGCCCCTCTTGGCCCAAATGTGGCCTCCCAGGCTAATTCCAGAGCTGTGTAGCTGTGGTTTGGAATTAGGGGTGGGCTGGGTAAGTGAAGATGATATGGCGGCTGTAGGAGAATGAGGTGACCTCAGAGCCCAGCCCCTAATTAGAACTTGCTGCAGAAAGGAGCACCAAGGTGGAGAGCCCAAAAGGCATCCTGCCCTGGGGCCACTGGAGGAGAAGGCAAAAGACAGGCACCAAGCTGTGGACTTGGGGCATACTGGCTGAGCACCAATAGTTATCAGCAGGAAGGGATAGTGTCTGGGCCAGAGAGGGAAAGCCGGGACAGGGTTTGTCCTGGGCTGAGCACACTGTGCTCTCTGTTTCACCTGCCACTTGCAGCCGCCCTGTCTGGCAAGTGTTGAGTTTGCCCCTCATTTGTAGCTGAGAAAAGTGCTGCTCAGAGAGGTGTGGCAACTGCCCAAAGTCACACAGCTAGGAGCTGGTGGACCAGTTCAGGCTTGGTGACCCTTGCTCAGCAGCCTGTCTGCCTGTGCCTGTGGCATCCCTGCATGGGATCAGATCTGAAAAGGGCTGTGTGGGATTGGCCTCCAAAAGTGGGCAGACTCCTGACTGGTTTGTGGGGTTCCAACCAATTTGAGGGGCTACCTGAGGAAGTATGGAGAGGCCTTACCCTGGGTTGCTCCATTAGGAACGGGAGTGGGGGAAGGAGACACATCTTGCTCTGGTAAAGCTGCAAGACCCAGGAGCCAGCTATGCCTGGCTGGACGGCAGTATGAGCAGAGGGCCGCACTGGGCAGGGTCCTCGGGAGCTGCTGTCTTCATGCCAGGGGAGGGTTTGCACATCCCTTGCAAGGGCAGACAGGAATGCTGAGCTCTATCCTCACAGGTAATGTGGGAGCTCAGGGTGTGGCTATGTCCAATAAAGCTGTATTTACAAAAAGAGGAGATGGGTTGGATTGACTCCTGGGTTGTAGTTTACTGACCCTTGTGCTATGGACATTGCCAGGGAGGGCTGGGGGCAGAGGTTGTCCTATGCAGCTTGGCTTTGTGGGAAGAACAAGACCCTGGAGCCAGATAAGACCCACCTCCCCGTGAGCTCTGACCCAGCTTCTGGCTCAATGAGGCTATAAGCCACCCCCGCTGGGCATAGAGCAGGCTGCATAGCCCCAGCCTGGGAGCTCCGGGACAGTTCCTTCCTGTCTCCTCTTCTTGGCCAGAAGAGACCTGCAGGTCTCAAAAGCTGCCTGCTGTCTACTCTCACTGTCTCTGTGACCGTGCTCTAGCTAATTTATTAGCGTGCCTGAAGGCCTAGCAGTGCGTGAGCAGCATGGGCCCTCTGGCTCCAGCTGGTTGTGTTTCTCAGTCTCATCTGATAAAGCTCTCACTGAACCCTCCACATGCACCTGCATTGATTAGGACCCCAGTCTGGTCTCTGCAGGGTGAGATAAGGCTGATCTGGGGGACCCTGGGGAGGAGGAACCGGCCCTGCCGTCTTAGGACTGCTGCAAATCATGCGCCTGGGCTGCAACATCATCAAAGATGAAGAGCCCCAGGTTTGGTTGCACATCTGTTGCTGTCCAGTTAGGTGACCTGGGAACATCCCTGGGCTCTTTCCTGTAGGCTGGGAATGACTAGAGTCCTGCACTAATCTGCCTCCTTCCCTCGTTAGCCCTGTACTGCACACCTACCCTGGGCCTGCCTCGAGGGCAGCAGGAAGTCCCTGGCCTTGGGTAGCTGCTGTCCAGTGGGAAGATGAAGATACCCAATGGCTGCATGCTCCAGAGAGCTGTGAGGAAGGGGGCTGGAGAGGGCTGGGCTGGTGGGGCACTCTCAGGGTGGTCCTGGAAAGTCTTCAGTGAGGTGGGGGGCACATAGTCAGAGCCGGCGGGGCTCCATAGTTGGGGCTGATCTGGCCTCATAGCAAGGCTTGTGACTATTACAGTGACCTCTATACTGTCAGTCCTCTGCCGCTTTCTAGTCCCCCAATGGGCAGTGCTGACCCAGCTGCCAGGTCCTCTTGGGCCTTGTCTGGATGGACTGCAGAGCCCTTTGGGAAAGGCTGGGGCAGGATGGGAGAAGCAACAGGCTTTGGAGCCACTCCACACAGGTTCCCTGCATGGGCAGCATGTGTGAGGGGCTTGGAGGTGGAAGAAGCTGGAGGACTAGCAGGCCTCAGGGTCAGGGGGCCTGATACCCAACCCAGGCTGGCCTGGATGGGAGAGGAGATAGTGAGTGACCTGGGAGAGGGGACAGGGATGGATGGAAGATCCAGGAAGGACCTAGAGCCCAGCCGGGTGAAGTAACAGCAGGATGGCCCCAGGGATAAGATCCATGGCCTGCCTTGGGCTGGAAGGTGTGGGTGAGGCCCAAAGCAGGCTGAGTGCTGGGCTTGGAGGACATGGCTAGGGGTTGGGTTCCTGTGAGGTCAGGGTGTACAAGCTGGGGGTGCCAGAAATCAGCTCCAAGCTGCTCTCTGTTTCAAGTGATTCAAGTCAGCCAAGGCCACCTCAGCCCTGGGCTCCTCTGGCAGCAGCAGGCAGTGTTCTTTACAGATATCATTGCTAGTTGCCAGGTCAAGAAGGGTCCAAGTCACTACTGGCTGTGGCTTTATGGTCACAGGTGGGCTTGGTCGGAGCACTTCAGTGGGTGAGGGAACGTAGGCTGTGGGTGGGGGTCCAGAATAGGAAGTGAGGATTAGAGGGCACTGATGCATGACCCCAGCAGATGTGGAGTGTCTCCACAGGTGCCACAGCCCTGCACAGGGGTGGTGAGAGGACTATCTACCAGACAGTTGTTCGGGAGACCTTCTGACAGTGAGATAGCGACTCCTCTGTCACTGGAGGTCGGCTAAGAATGGCTCATGGCTTTGAGGACTCTTAAGGACCCCACACCCCTTCAGAATGATGCATTGTGGGGAAGGTGTATAGGAGGGTGGGTGTGTGCCTCACGCTGTTCTGAGTCTGTGACTTGCTCTTAAACACAGCACTGGAAGTGATGCTCTCCAGGAGTGGGGACGAGAGAGCTTGCCCAGAGTCACAGAACAGGCAGGTGGCAGTCAAGATCTCTACCGTATCTGACTCTTCTGGTCCTGAGTTGTTAGTGGCAGAGGTTTGCAGGTAGAGTTAAAAGTCTTGCTTGGTCACAGCCTAGGTATGGGGCCGTGCTCACCACTGTGGCCTAGAACTCATCATTCTCAGGCTGAAGAAGGGACCTTTGACAGTTAGGGCCATGTCTTGTCACCCATGACCAAGCCACAGCTCTCATTAAGACTCCAGCGGGGTGAGGCCCTAGGTGTCGGAGGCTGGTCCACTCTAGTCTGGACCACAGGATGGCTGGTCACAGCGAGATAATGGGAACCTCTGGGCCCCATTGTACACTAACAAAAGCGCCCTGCTTCCCATCTCCTAAATTATTCATGACCTCCAGGAGGCTGT